TGATCAAGTAGAAATTATGAAATGCTAAAAATAAAGAGTTTATGTGAGGCAAACCAGACCCTCGGGATTACTACATAGAAGGTCATGTGGTAAGTAAGAACAGCTTCTGTAGCTCAGTGAAGATATATAGCTACCTGGATGCTGGAAGTCTTGAAGAACTCAGATCCAGTAGCTAAGCTGTCCAAGATGGAGTTCAAGTTGGTCTGAGTTGACAGTGTCCATTTCCTTCCGTTTGCAGGGCCCAATATACACGGCATGCTTATTCTCTCCCTGGCTTTCTCTCATGTCGTTTTGTGTAAGCATCTGTATGTGAATTCACACTTCTGCAAGTATGTTATAAGTCTTGTAGACTCACTTTTTTGCACTACTTGCGATGCTATCAAAGACACTCATGCTTCTATTGGGGAAATGGTTTTCCCTTTCAAGGATTTTCCTTAAACCTTCCCTTTTTGATTAAACACTATCCAAATTCACTGAAGTTCTTCTGGCCTGTTTTTCAACTGTAGTTAAGTATCTTCAGCAGAAGGGAAAACAAACAATCAGACCAACATACGTTTTGGATGATGGAGTGCCTTACAATATACAGCAACTGCAAGTTCAGGTATACACTTTTTGAAGGAAAGAGAGATGTTAGCAATATATGCCTGGTCTGACTGTGGGCAGTAAACAGCTGCCAGATAACCCTTATTAATCCCTTATTAATGCAAGTCATTTTTTCAAGGGCACAGGTGAATTCTCCCTCCCATGACATTTTCCTCTGTCTCGAATGCCTTGCATTGTAGTAACTTAAAACTTCAGATGGGCATTTAGATATATAGTTCAGGCATCCAAGAAAACAAGCTTGGCAGAACTACCAAGGGCTTTCCATTCTTCTTGATGTTTCTGTGTAATGGTTTGTTGTAAAGCTAAGGTTAATGTGTCCATTTTGGCCACTTCAAAAACTTTTGTAGTCTAACCTTCTGGTGTTGGTGTGTTTTGTTGTTTCCATGGAAGGCAAGCACAGTAAATGTGAAAGTACTATACTTTTATAATTATCCATGTTCCACTCCCTACAATGTCAAAGTTTCACTTTGGGAGGCAAAATTCTTATTTGGAGGGTAATGATTTCATTCCTAACCCCTTATATAAGCACCTCTGTATTTTTCAAATGGGAATACAGAAAGGATTACCAAGTCAACGCATGTAATTACTTCCAGTCACAGAATACCAAAGGAATGTTACAAATGATTAATTTTAAGAGCTGCGTATTTTGCAACAAAGTTCTTGACCATGGTTATGAATCCACAGACAATTATTCTAGAATACAGATACCTTTCTTACCCCCTCATTTCTAATTCCACTGTCCTGTGGCATGGTAACTCTGCAGTTACATCTTCTCCACTTATTCCAGGTGCTTCCCTAACATAAATCTGCCCATGTTTCCTGTTATTAGTAAGCACAGTTTTTCCTGCATCATCCAACTGATCTCAGAGGCCAAATTCTGAGTGATGGTGCTAACACTTTTATACTCAAAATCCTTTCTATTTTTTGGCATAAGCCGAGAGAAAGAAATGTCCCTGTGACCACTAAGAACATACTGATAGTATGGACCACCATTCTAGACCAGCAACTTAGTTATGGAATTAATTAATGGAGTTAAGTACCAGTGTCCTGCTCCCTTGAAACTTACCAGACAGCAGCCACTATAAGAAAAAAGAACTGTTTTCTGTTGGTTGGGATGCAGCGGATTCACATTTCTATCCATTCCAATAAGTGATCTCCAGCGTGAAAATCAGAAGCAGGATCCTTGTTGCACCAGAGACCGCTCATGGGAGGGGGTAGTAATATCAGTCTGCTGTATCATAGGGCACTTATAATAATAAATAATAATAACTTTATTTTTATACTCTGCCTCCATCTCCCCGAAGGGACTCAGGGCGGCTTACAAAGGGACATGCCCAACAAAACAGCATCAAATAATAAGCAATGTCCAACATCAATAAGGATGAAATAACAAGCAATGTCAAACATCAATAAACATAAAATCAGACAACATTATAAAAAAACGATTAAAAGCTATTGTGGCTGAGCAAATAAAGTGCTGGGTTTGGTTCATAATTACTAAATCCCACATTATCTGAGTGTGGACTCAGATAACCCAGTTCAAAGCAGATACTGTGGGATTTTCTGCCTTGATATTCTGGGATATAGGGCTGTGTGGAAGGGCCCTTAGTTGGACAGAATTGGGGAACTGTTATTATCCCCGTGTATTCTCTACATCATTGCTTTCCAAATTCTGGTTTTCCAGGTGTTTTAGACTTCTGCTCCCAGAATCCCTGATCATTAGCTAAAGGTAAATGAGGCTCTGGGAGCTGAAGTCCAAAACACCTAGACAAGACTTTGAGAATCACTGACCTATACTATCAAATGTGTAAGGATCATGAATACGCACCAGTCACAAGTGCATAACTCTAGGCTATGCATTCATAATTGTGATTGTGAATTCCAACCATAATTTTTAATGCTTCCCAATTTTAAAATGTCCTTAAAGTACTCTTCTAATATAGTTTCATATAAGACGCATTAGTTCTTGGAACAATTTTAAAGACTCTTTGGGCCCTTCCAGACAGGCCCTATAGCCCAGGATCTGATCCCAGGTTTTGTGTTTATCCCAGATTATCTGGCAATGCTGACTCATATAATCCAGTTTAAGACAGAAAAGCTGGGATCAGATCCTGGGATACAAGACCTGTCTGAAAGGGCCCTAAGGCTGACTTCTCTACTGGCTATTCCAGATTTTCTACTAGCTGTGTGTCAGACAAATTTCCTGTGTAATCATTATGACCTCATATTTCAGGTGAAATGTCAGAGGTGCTGTTTGGTCATGCACGGGCAATGCTGGCATTTGTACTGTCACTAGCTGTAACAAGAATACAATACACCGATTTATTGGTACAGAGATCCCAGCAAAGCAGTTGTGTTCCTGAGCATTGTTTCCTTAGCATAAAGTTTGGTACAGAAAGGGGAATGACATGAAAAGAATTAGGATAGTTTCCTACACCACAAACTGTTCACCATATTTCAGCAAACTTTTATTCCAAACTAAGAAGAAAACATATGAAACTGAACAACCAACCAGATAAGTATTGGATAACTAAACAAAAATGTACAGAGAGCATGTGAAGGACTCTAAAAGGGCATCTAGGGATTGCTGTTTTCTCTCTTCAGCCTCAACTTTCCTTATGATTTCCATTTTAGCTTCTAAACTTGTAGATCTATGCTTTTTAACATCCTGGAGATAGTTAGTGTAGCAGAGTTATATGCTCTCCCCTTTTCTCGTCACTTAATTGTTCACATGCTCACTAAGAGGGGCACTGCTGTTTAGACTGACTTTCTGAATGGTGTGGCAAGCACAAGCAGCTACAATTGGCTCAGTTAGCATAAAATCCTGTTCTTTTCCAGTTCAATATTTCTTGCTTCATTTACAACAGGCACACTACCACAACCTGATAACAAAAATCCATGTTCCACCAGTCTTTTTTTTAAACCATCTTCCCAATGGGATACAATGTTCCCCCACTTATCGCGGGTGTTACGCTCCAGGACCACCTGCGAAAAGTGAAAATCTGGAAGTAGGGATGCTATATATGTATATCGCATTCTGAGGGTGAGGCAGAAGCGAGAAGAGATTTAAAGGCACAGCACACCTTTTTTTGCTAGCTATCTCTGCTTTGCTTTGCAATCTCTCTTGATTGGCTGCCTCTCTTCCGAGGAGGAGGGCGAAACCCCCTTCCACACACTCCACTGTTGCCAGGAGGTGGGATTATAATGCTGCTCTGGGCAACAGCAACCATTCATAAACTGGGAAGCAAAAAATCGTGAAACAGTGTCCGCGAAAAGTGAGGGAACATTATGTTGTGCTTAAGTGGAATTTAGTCTGGTCCAATGCAAAAGACACAATAACTTTGCACAAAAGCAGGAGGGAAAAACCCAGAAAACTTTACTCTTGCCAGCAGAGTCAAAACATAAACTTGCAGTGTTGCATACAAAATAAACAGTGCAACAAATTTACATAGTCCTTGTAAGAAATACAGAACGCAAAGAGCTTGGCTTCATCTCCCTTCACATGAGCAGCGCAAAATGGTTGAGCAAAACGCTGTGAGCAAAAGACTCCTCAGAGCAAATACTTTTGAGCATAGAGTTGAACTGTATTCTAAGCCATATACAGTTATACCCCACCAGGTATGGCTCAAACCTACTTGCTGACCTAGATTAGCAGCTGCACATGATAATTAACAGTATAAGGTTTTCTTTAACACACATATATACGTGGTGCTGATCCTTTTACAACTCACCGTAACACATTGTACTTCTAAAAACATTCCAGCTAGACAAAGGAAGGAGGGCTGGACACATCTAAAAAGAAGCTTCACCATTAAGAGAATTTGTTAACTATATGTGTACTATATTAATTAAGCAGTAGTTAATGAATTAATGATTGAGCAATGCTACCTGGTGCACTGATGACAGGGATTATTTCCCTCTAGAAAATCAAGAAGTAGCACCATACAACCTGGAGCACACCAATGTGTTCTGTTTTCAGAAGCTAAGAGAGTCAGCTCTGGCCAGTACTTGGCTGGGAGATCTCTAGGCAATATCAGGGATCTCTGGAAATGGCTAGAAAAGAATATTGCTTAAAAAACAATACAATCCTCACCAGTCAAGAGTTGAAAATCCTGGGCTAGATGAGAATCAATGGCATACGTTAGTACAAGACAACTTCCTTTGTTCCTATGTCCAAGTCCTATCTTTTGGAAACTAATTTGTCTTGAAGTTCTTGTTCACCAGGAAAAGTTGAGGTATTTCTTTCATTTATTCATTATTTCATTCATTTCATGCAACGCAGCTGGTTTTTTGTACATATTGGTTGACACCATCCTGAAAATTTTCATTAGCTTATGTGGTTACCAGTCCAGAGACATCAAGCTTGGAGACATATAGCCATAATTGGACCAACCTACCTGGAACAAGGTGTTGGGTCCTTGCAGCCTGGCAGGACTCAAAGGAGCAACAGGACTCAGGCTGCTCCAGAAGTGAATGCTAGAAAGCAGCGGACTTGGGGTCAACAGCAATCCATTGGGGGTCTGCAAGAAAGAAGAAACCAAATAGATGTTGCATCATTCATCATTCTTCCACTTAGTCATTTCTTGATGCACATTGCAATGTGAAATGATATAAGGTTTTTTACTTCTCAACATATTTTTAGCTTTCTTGGAAGTGTGTTGAAAACAGGCTTCCTTTCACAAAATTTCAGAATTTACCTGACTACATCAGAGGAGGAAAATGAAATTAATCTAAGCAGGTTGCTTTTCTTATGCAAGTGGAAGAATGAGAAGCATTATAGAACAGTGGTTCTTGACCTGTGGCCATGATGTCTTCACAAGGGATCCACGAAGGCTTGAAGAAATTTTATGAGCTCTTACAGAAATAGAAAAGCAAGATGGGGGGGGGGGGTTCATAAAATACCACAAACATGTATTTTGCCCCCAAATGTTTCCCTTCAAATAAACCCCTCCTATTTGTTTTTGTCAGCCCTTGATAAAGGGGTGGAAAACCCCAGAATGTGAAAAAGAAGAGAAAGAAGGAAGGTGTAGGGAAAAGGCAGATGGCAGTGCATCCTGCTTCATATGACTGTGCAACTCAGGTGCAACCAGAAAGAGAATTGGCTAGGAAGATTGGCATCCAGACCGTTTTCCATTTACTTTTCTACTTCGTGGCCACCAGTCCCAAGGGTGACACCTCTGCCCCTTGAGCCTTCAACTCTCCTCCTTTTGCCCTCCCAAGACCTGTTGGGCTCTGCCTCACACAGAAAAGTGATGAGGTAGAGAGAGAGGAGGAAGAGAAGAGAGAGCTGCCTCTCCCTTCTACACAGTCATTAATGTGTTGTGCAGAATGGCAGGCTCTCGAACTGCTGGTATGTATAGAATTGAAATGGAGAGAGTAAGAGGAAGGAAGGTGGGTTGGCTAGGACACTTAGCCAGTGATGGATAGTGGCAGCAGAAGAAGGGTCCAGGCTTTAACACAGCTGGTTAAACACCAGCAGCAATAGATCTTACCAATTAAAAGGTTGGCAGTTCGAAACCCGGGTCAGGGTGAGCACCCAACCTTCGGCCCAACTTACTGTCCACCTAAGCAGTTTGAAGACAGCTGTGAACTGTGAGTAGAGAAATTAGGTGCCACTTAAGCGGGGAGGTATTTTACAGCACCATAAAGGAAATATCAGAAAATACCGGTGATCAAAGGAAGGAGGAAGTCTGTAATCAAGGGCTCTTTTTCATAGAGGATGATATGACAGCACCATTCATGTGGCCAGAATAGAACACAACCTCCAGGACGCTGAAGTTGAGAAAAATAACAACATAATACCTCTATCTGTTGTCTGTCCTGTCCGTTTAATAGCACTGCATGTTTACTGTGTATGTGTTCTGTGATTTGCCCTGAGTCTCCCTCAGTGTGAGAAGGGCAGAATATAAATGCTGCAAATAAATAAATAAATAAAGTAGCTGCAATTTTAGAACAGAGAAAGGCATGCTCTGGATGTTGGTGAGTGAGGGAGTGTATTATGTATGTGAGTGACTAGTGCATGTGCTCACACATCAATGGCTCTACATTCAGGAATCCCTGCACCCACCCTCTGTTCACATCAAAGTAGTGCATAGAGTGGAAGAATGAGAAGCGAGTTCAGTTCCTCTACATCTTAGGCCTACACATATGCACACCCAAAGAGCAAAGTCCCAAACCACACAGCAGTGGAGATCTTCGTTGGCCTTCTCAATGTGCAGAGAAGGACATTGAGAGAGATGTAGTCAGCTCAAATTGCATTAAAAAAAAAACTCTTTCCATGGTTGTCGGCAAATGTCGTCAGCTCAACAGACCCTAAAGATGAATATGTTCCACCCACGAGCTACAGCAACTTCCTGTTGCCATGGTCGCCTCGCACCAGGCTATTCAGAAAGACCAACTTCTCCTTCCCTTTGTTTTCAGTGGAGAACGATAACTACAGGGATTCTGCCTCTGGAGTAGTCTCAAATCCCATGCCAAATACAAAAGTAGGAGCAAAATCAGTTGAACTTCCATGGTTCACTTGCTTTTCCCATCCCTTCTCCTTTAGACAGGGGTGGAGTGGGGATTCATATTGGGTATATTGGTTTGGATAGGTTAAGATTGGGTTGGAAGGTCACATTTGGCCCAATGATCATACTGACCTCACACTGACCTTCAATTATGCAGGTATCCAGGTAATGAATTTTGGATCACAATCTTCCAAACTGGGCCTGGGTGAATTTTTCTGTGCTCACTGGTTGCTATTTTCAATAGCATGACTCATGAATAAAGCTGAGATTTCTCATCCAAGCAACCCATAGCTCAGAAAACAATTGTCAGGTCATTAAAAAAACTGCAAACTCTCAGGCTTTGTACCCAAAATAACTATGTTTCCTTTTTTAGTATTGCAAAGCAAGTTGATCATTACTCAGTGTTAACTTTTCTATTCTGTGTTTTTGGCAAAAGCAGAACATAGCTCTAGCCATCCTAATAAACTAGGTATCTGAATCCTTTTGTTTTATATGGAATTTGAGCATAGATATTTTTAAGCCAAGCAGAAGTAGCTGGACTAGAACTCTAGACTGATTGTTATGTGTTCTAATCCATAGAGGAAGGATGTCATAGGACAAGGATGGGTTTCATACTTCCCTAGGAAAGCAAATGTGTGCAAATTTACAGTGTTTAACACAACATTAATTCTCCATATGGAAATCCAGAGCTTTTTCCTAATGAAGAATTTTCTTTAAATAATAATTTATTTCAGTTCAATCATGTCCATCTGTTTATAGGAGGGGTGGTTTAAAACTACAGGAAAGGAGATTCCACCTGAACATGAGGAAGAACTTCCTGAATGTGAGAGCTGTTCAGCAGTGGAACTCTCTGCCCCAAAGTGTGGTGGAGGCTCCTCCTTTGTAGGCTTTTAAGCAGAGGCTGGATGACCATCTGTTGGGGGTGCTTTGAATGCGATTTTCCTGCTTCTTGGCAGGGGGTTGGACTGAATGGGCCACGAGGTCTCTTCCAACTTAATGATTCTATGAGTCTATGAATCTGGCATGCTTGAAGAAAATGTGCTTTTTCAATCTCCCTCATCTTCACCGGAGTGCTGAAATTCCAAATCCTTCCTCTCATATGTCTAAGAGGTGCTACAAACACATACTTTCTTTCTTTCCGGGTGGCTATACAGTTCCCAGATTACTTCTGACATAGTTGGAACCCCTGATGAGATTTAACATTTATTCTGTGTAGGAAATGTCTCAATACACCCACATGTGTCGTGCTGACAAGCGCTTATCCTCCCATGGCCACAAAAATTACTTTTTTAGACTTCGGTTTTTACAGTTACCCAACCAGCATGCCCACATGATGGTTCCGGTTTATTCAAATGGAATTAAATGAAAAACAGAGGGTGTGTACTACTTTTGCTAAAAGCTTCATAGATAGTTGCTTGAATTTACATTAAGGTTATGTGTAACTAATGTATTTGCCACACAAAACCGGTACAGGCTCAGTATATCAGAAAGTTAAGGTGGAATTAGTTTGTATGTTAATTTGTGGAACTGACCATGTTAAAGCCATAAAATTGCCATTTCACCCAGAGTCAACAGCTGCTGCCAAGTGTGACCCAGAACCTACTCTCTCATGAACGATCATTCATTTATAATTTGATGCTATCCTTAGATGGATAGAATCAGAAACTATCTAAGTAGCAGCAGTTGAAAATATAGTATGGAAAGGACAAGTGGTCAAACAAAAATTGACCCATGTAGCATTTAGTTCTGCTCCATCCATCACTTCCAGCTACTTCTCTGGTCGTACATGTCAATCTTCTGCATCTTTGTGATTTTTCCACCCTCCAGTCCTCAAGTTGAAAATCAGCAATTGATGCATAACTGGGTTCCCCAAAGAAATATAATGGCTAGAATTCTGTTAATTATGATGTCTAACTTGCTGTGAGTGATCGCCCTACAGTTCCAAAACTTTGGGCTGCTTTCCCTTTCCCCCTCAAGATCTTCTCTGGATCCCCAAGGTGATCCCTATGTGGACCAGTAGATGTGTTGTGTTGAGTGTTCACTGTGATAACCATAACAAGACTCTCAACTGACACACTTGTAATAAAAATAGTAAAAAGTAGAAGTTTATTAATATACAGTATGATAACTAATTAACCCCTGAACTATGAATCATTCACAAAACACTATTAAAGTTGTTGATGGCTTTCATGACCGGAATCACTGGGTTGCTGTGAGTTTTCCGGGCTGTATGGCCATGTTCCAGAACTATTAAAGTTTTTCACTTGACTGGCTGATCTTTCTCTATGCCATTATTCTCCTTCATGCCTTTTTTTCAGAGACAAGCTTCAATTTCGTTATCCTTTCTCCCCCATAGATCTTCCCTCTCCCTTTCACAGCATTGACTGGCAGCAAACGGGTTTGCCTAGTCCCTCCATTCACAGTTAAGACTTAGGACACCATAACTGCTTTGTATTCCCATTTGCAATCCAGGCACTATTACCATGACCACAAATGACCTGAAAATCTCCCATAAAAGCCAGTCAGCTATCCCACATCAATGCTGGATGATGTGACCACCCCCCTCCCATCAGCAATTATAGTTGCAATGAAGAGTTGTAGTACTTTTGTTCATTGGGATAATGATATCACTTTTAAATGTGATGATTCCATTCTATAGAAACATAATATCTACAGTTTGGTGAAGAACTTAGACTTTTCTACAAGAGAGCTCAAGTACTGTAGCTCAAGGAACTACACTAGAATTCTTTAGCAAAGCAATCTAAATGGTACACCAAACTACTTGGATTTCAAAGGGCAGAGCCATGAGAGTGAAAAGTAAACAAAACTGTTATAACTATGTAGTGCAGACACAATCCAATTGCATGGAAAATTATACAATTATATGTATCATCTACAAATTAATGCATATGAAATCTAGCTAAGAATTATACATAATAAATATGCATAGGAACAAAAATTTTTAAGAATATTGCACAAATATAGGATAAGCAGCATCTGGCTTGGAAGCA